TCCAGTAACCATTCTGAGGACTCCATGAGATGGATACCTTCCCGTGTTGGACTGACTCTCTGATCACTCCTAAATCCCACCAAGTCTTTCCTTCAACCTGAACCTCAAAGTAGAATCTGCCTGAAGAGAAACTCTGCTTTGTTAAAACACAGAAACCATTAATAAATCTCTCTGGGTTGTTTGGGAGATTCTTCTCCACATCACCAAGTTTCACTTGTTTCCCATCGTCAGACAGGATGAGATCAGGATGAGCTGTTTGAGGATCAAGAGTCACATCCACTGAAAACATCTGGACCCTCTTCAGCTCAGCGTCAGCAAACCACTTCATCTTCTTACTGAGTGTCTCCTCCAGCTTACACACAGCTCTCACCACAGTCCCCTCATATGAAGGACAAACACTGACCTCTGTCCAGTCCTTGGTGGGTGGTGGCTGATGGATGTTTGAGGACTGGAGAAAATGGAGGTGGTCTTCAGAGAGAGACAGCTGCTCCACCGCAGCGCTCCTCTTCATCAGGTCAGAGATTTCCTCTTCCAGCTCTCCGATGAAAGCTTCAGCCTGTTTCTTTGTGGTTTCCTGCTTCTCTTCTATTGTTTTGAGGAGCTCCTTCAAGCCTCTTTCAACAGACTCCATCAGATCAGTGAAGACCTGAACACCTTCTGCTTTCTCTCTGCCTGCATCTTCCTCACTGAGGTCGACCGAGTGTTTGATCTCCTGAATCTTCACTCTTCTCTTCTGGATCATCTGCTGGATTTCAGCCTCTTTCTTCTTCAGCTCGACCTTCTTTTCTTCATATTCTTCTTTCAGAGGAACAACATCATGCATCTTGTGGTCTAAAACAGTGCAGAGCATGCAGACACACGTCTGGTCGCTCTTACAGAACAGCTCCAGAGGTTTATCGTGCTTCGTACACATCCTGCCTTCCAGGTTCTCCACAGGGTCCATCAGCTGATGTCTCTTCAGGCGTGAAGCTGTCAGATGAGGCTCCAGGTGAGTCTCACAGTAGGAGAACAGACACACCAGGCAGGACTTGAGGGCCTTCACTTTGCTTCCAGTGCAGACGTCACAGGGAACTTCTCCTGGTTTGGACTCTTGTTGCTCTGAGCTGCTGCTGCTGCTGGCTTTCTGCTGAGCAGACTGTCTGAACTGAACAACCATCTCAGAGATGAAGGTGTTGACCCTCAAATCAGGTCTGGTGATGAAGTCCTTCTTACACATTGGACACAGGTTCTGGTCGCTGGTGTTCCAGTGTTCATTGATGCAGTTTAGGCAGAAGTTGTGTCCACATGGTGTGGAAACTGGATCAGTGAACACATCCAGACAGATGGAGCACAGGAACTGATCTTCAGATGGACCATAGTTTGCAGAAGCCATGTCTACACATGATGTGGAAGAGAAGAAAAACGTTTTATTTAAAATAGTTTTAATGAATAGTTTCATTTTGAAACCAGTCCAGAATGTGTCCACATGATGTGAATAAAGAGCAGCACGCTAACAACGCTCTGCTTACTTGGTGACAAACACGTAGCGTCTCATTTAGATGACTCACACTAAAAGCCTCCTAACGTGACGCACCAAGAGGAAACAGAGGAAGGGATCAGGAAACAGAGAGACACTAAAGTTTAAAGCACAGAGATTCAGCTCCAAGTGACTGAAGTCCTGGACAGTTTGAAGCTGTTAGACTGAGTTACTGTATCGTGGGACTGTGGATAAACACACGTGGTTTTATTGTTAAGATTCTATCCAGTAGGAAGTGAACACAGAGGAACTTCCTCCATCCATTGTCAAACCGCTTATCCTGCACACAGGGTCGCGGGGGGGCTGGAGTCCATCCCAGCCAACTTCGGGCGATAGACAGGGTACACCCTGGATTGGTCGCCAGCCAATCGCAGGACTACACAGAGACACACAACCATTCACACTCACATTCACACATCTACGGGCAATTTAGAGTCACCAATCAACCTGATCCCCAGAGCATGTCTTTGGACTGTGGGAGGAAGCCGGAGAACCCGGAGAGAACCCACGCAGACACGGGGAGAACATGCAGACTCCACACAGAAAGGCCACTGGGTGGAATCGAACCCAGGACCTTCTTGCTGTGAGGCAACGGTGCTAACCACCACGCCACCGTGCCGCCCCAGAGGAACTTCCTGCCTGAGAAAAGTAGAACGTGTGTGTTCTTCCTGCTTGTTGAAGGTGTAAATGTGACCAGCTGTACTCACCAGTGTTCTGAAGAGACTCTGCTGTGTTGCTGAGGAACACCTGATGACGTCACTTTGACTTTTCTCTCAGAGAAACACGGAGACTTGTCTTCACTGCAGCGCGTCTGCCTCTCTGACCAACGAACTTTCATTTCTGGACAGTGACGTAGAAGCTCCGCCCCTGCCTGTAGCTCCGCCTCCTACTGGAGCGTCATCAGCTGGTGAGGTTTGTTTCCTCCTCTGATTCATGCTGACTGCTGGAGGATTCAGTCATGTCATGTTTGCAAAAAGCTTGTATCTCTGATAAAAATAAAAAACAACCTTTACTCAGCTTTGTGAAGATCCATGAGGCATTTTAAACAGTTGATTTAGCTGAAGAAGAAAGAGGATTTTCTCAAAACACAAATGAACATTTCGTTGTTTAGTTTATTACAAACATTTGACATCAACACATCTGGAGATACGAGGCTTTCACAATACATGAAGGACGTGCTTGAATATATATAATATAATATACAATAACTGCAACTAAATTAGTACAGAAAAAACTACAATATTTGGAGTAGAAATATAAAGTTACCTAAAATGGAATGTAAAGTACAAGTACCTCTTATGTGTACTTGATCACTGTACTGCCGCTGATCAGTGAGGTGTGACAGAGATAAAGAGAACATGGAAAGATTTGCTGTGAAGAACACGAATGGGCGGATAAAGATGGAGAGAGTGAAGAAAGAAGATGTCGACAAAGTCTTGAATCACTGTGCTGAGCTCTGACTCATAAGTAAAGAAAACTGGATGTACAAAAATGTCTTCATATTAATGTAAAATGCAACACAACGTTGTTATTGTGTTATGGAAATGTCATTGTAATTATGTCGCGTGCAAATAGAAACTCAGAACATCCATGCAAGACTTTTCCATAAAACTCAAAACCATCAAGACTAGTACTTCCGGTTGGAGTTTCGAACCAAAATAAAATCATCGTCCACCAGTTAAGAAAAATTCCCAAACTTCACGGAGCTATACAATTAATAAAAAATCACGAAGGGAGAAGAAACCAGTGGTTTTGGTACTACGAGGACACTTTGTTGATAATATGTTTACTTGAGTGAAATTTGGATTGCTTGACTTTTAACAACTGATTTCAGTATTTCTTACAGCAGTGTTGCTAATTATCAAATAAAAGCCTTTGAACATCTCGCCCCCCATTGACTGTATGCCTGAGTAACTACCTAAACAGGACGCTATTTATTTTGTGCTCGGCCCGTGTATTTTGAAAACCCTTCACCGGATGTCACGTGAACCACCGCTCTCGCCGTTCCTTTGTCCGTCCCGCCCTCCCGCCTCCCCTTCGCCTCATTCCGGCGCTGCGCGCCGTCGTTTCGGCTGTTGTAATTCTCTCTCGTCCCCGCCCCCTTCCCCCATCCACCCATCACCACCACCACCACCACCACCCATCCACGGCTTCACCCTCACCTGCTTCCCCGGCTTCTCATCACCGGAGTGCCGCGATGTGCGCCCGGTACCGGAGCTGGCTGTGGGTCTGGTCCGCCCTGCTGAGCCTGAGTGACCGGACCCGGGCTCTGGAGCTCCGCGAGCTGTTCGCGTTCGGAGCGGAGGCCGGTGACCAGCAGCTTCCGCCCGGCTCGGACTCCGCGGCCGAGCTGCCCCTCCGCGGCTCCCTGTTCTTCTTCCAGAGAGCCTTCGACCGGGTTTACGTGAGTTCAACGCGGGTTTAGTGGCGAAGAAACGCGGTTTAAACACGAGGTTCATTCATCAAAAGTTAGTTTGAAAACTTTATCCAACCAAGTTTTTAAAGTTCTTCAACAAAATGTTGATTTTTACAGTTAATTATGACAAAAGGTAAATCGGCCTTTCAGAAATAAAACATGATCAAATTCAACTTAAAATGAATGAAATCCAAATGAGATTCGTAATGAATGAGATTTCTGTACTTTTTATTTCATTTTTATCATTAATACGTTAATGTCTAAAATAACCTCGAAAAGTCTTTAGTCTAATGTTGATCTTACTTTTCTGCTTCCCAACATTAATCAGATAGTATCTTATTTTTTCTTGATAACTAATGTAAACAACATATAAAGAAACAGAATCTAGAGATTTTTAAACCTTAAAATCTCCTTAAACTCATCACATGAAAGTTATGGTGTCATAAGTTACTTCTCATTTTTAAGGACGAGGACTTCATCTTCATCTTTATTCCCTCCAACGGTGATTTTATGTCTTTATTAATCCGTCTCCAAACTCTGCTGTCAACCGCTTTGTCTCCTTTCTCCTTTCGTCGGTTCACACCTGATGAGGATTTCTGTTTGAATTCCTCCACTTCAGCTCCTTTCAGCTGTTGTTCATGTCTCCCAACTTGCGCTGCTCCTTCAAATTCTTTCATCTGATGTGGTCTTTTTGTTTTACACTTTTGAACCTCATAGACCTCCACTTAACGCTTATTAATTCATTATTACATTCTCACTGCCGCTTCGGGTTCCACACCTTTCAGTAGGTTCCAATTGTCTCAAAGGATTATTTCCCACCATGAACACGCCGGGGATTGATTGTTTGGAGAGAATAGTCTCCTCACTCCTGTTTGTTTGTCGGCAGCTGATAAGGTTTTCTATCGGCTTTTAATCCCCTCATTTGAAAACTGTTTTCACAATAAGAGTCAGGCCCACATGCGTCCCGCTGGCTTCTGGCTCTC